CCCCCGGGTGAGGTGCGGGGGGCGGGGCACACGACGAAGCCCTGCCCCCTGCTTCCGGCCACTCCGCTTCCGGCCCTCATTCAGCCAGGAGGAGGCAGGAGAAGAGGGAGGGTAAGTTGCTTCCTCCCCGCCTCTCCCCACCTGATGGGGCTCGGCAGTGGAGCCGCAAGGCCGCCGGTGGCCGGGACCGTTGGGGGCGGGGGGAAGGCTGGTGGTGGCGGCAAAGACCGTTGGGGGCGGGGGGGCCCTTCGCGGGGCTTCCTCGCCAGGGCTCATAACTGAGTGGTGGGTGTGGCCTTATGACACACTTCCAGTGATGTCAGAGGATGTGGCCTTATGACACACTTCCGGTGATGTCAGGGGGTGTGGCATATGCTAATGAGTTATGCTAATGAGTTCCCCTAGCTCTTTTTCTACGAAACGACCCCTGGGTCTGATGGTCTATAATCCAGTTCAGATGCAGGGAGTCAGCATCTCTGGTTCTGTATGCAGCAGGATGGGAGAACACTTGGGAATTGTAATTAAGGTGCCCTGTCTTTGGAGGAAGAATGAAGTGCAATAAAGGAAAAGGAGTCAGAAATGGAGACTCTGGGCGTGTTCAGACAGGCTGTTTGATCAGCTTTCGTCATGCTTCAGTAACAGATTTTATATGCATGTTCACACATCAACATCTGCGCACCATCCCCAGCCGTCGCTTTCCAGCTCAAAATCCCCTTTAAACCGGAGTATTTTGTTACCAGTTCCCCCTCTGGTGTTTTCCTGATTCTCCGGTTTCAAGCTGCAGTTTCCGATGTCTGATCACTCCTGCGGTGTTGAGCCACTTCCGGGTGCTTCAACTCCCTCCCCGCTCGAAAGCTGCTGTGGAAGCCCGAGGCTTCTGCTTTTCGCCCACCATTTTTTATAAGCATTGGCAGTGTGTGCATAGGCGAAGCTCTGCTTCTGCATTTATAAAACCAACGTTTAAACGGTCACTCATCTTAGCGTTTAGATGAGTTAGAGATCTCACGGAGGCCATTTTCAGGTCAAAAGTTTAAAGGGGAGTCTTTTATTGGAGGGGTTGGATTCATTCGCCCTTGTGGTTCTGCGCATGCGCCATGATAGTTCCCCCCCCATTCTACGAATGAGCGCCTATGCACATGCGCAAACTGAGGGGAAAAATTTAAAAAATGTCAACACACACTCCCGCGCGTCAGTAGTGTAGACGCCAGGGATCGATGTGATTGCGCGGTGGGGCAGGATAAGGGAGGTAAGTGTGATCGCAATTATCCAGATCAAAGATAATCGCGTCAGAACTGGACCAGTTTAAACCGCTCTCAGCACGCCATATGAACGCACCCTCTGCGTAGTATACTATGAAACTGACTGAGACTGTCTTAGTGATCTACATCATTTTACAGGAGGTGTGAAACCTTGAATGGCACACTGCTGTTGGTCCTCAGTCAATCAGCTTTGCCAAGGACAGCCCTAAGCTACCCCCCAAAAAGCGACGTCTTACCGCTTTCTTCACAATTTCAATTTCAGCGCGCAGTCTTTGGACAATCCGGCTCAATTCTGCAATCTCATCTTTGGTGCATTTCAAGTCATCTCCATGTTTGGTAGCTGTGCTTTGGAGTTCCTGATACTGATATACACAAAGCAAAGAAACAAGTCATTGTATCTATGTTGAACACATTTTTCATGCAATGTTTTTTTTTAATAATGGGTTAGGTTTTGATTGGTTACAACATTTAAATAAAGTAGCTTGTTGTGACCTTTATAAAAGGTTAGCTGCCTCCATTTCTACACAGAACCTGAACACTGGGCATGTTCTGGATGGTGCTAAACCCCCTCCACTTTCTATTTTTAAACCTGGTTTCTGACAATGCAATTCTATGCATATTTCTTCAGAGTAAAATCCCATTGTATTCAATGGGGCTTACTCTGAGATAAGTGTCCATAGTACTGCAGCTGAATTTCTCATTGGTTGAAACTTGATATTGAATACCCTTTTTTATTCCTACATTACATCATTATAGAACAAACACATTGAAAATGGGAAGGGATCTACTTTGAATTTACTTCTTTCGGGTATTTTTCATCAGGAAATAATTATTTTTAATGCATTTTTAAAACCTTGTTACAATTTCTTGCATATGCACATTTATCCTTCATGTATATAGCTAATGCATATGGAGCTCAAAAAGCAAAAATGAATACAGATGAAAGAAAAGAAACCCCATATTGTATGTGAGCAGGAAGAAAAACATATGTTGGACACAGAAAGAAAACTTGACAAAACATGATGCATTTTTACATCCCCACTTTCCAACTGGACTGGGTCATAAGGACCATATCACTCCAGTCTTGTTCTGTTTATACTAGCATCCCACTTGCTTCCAGGACCCATTCAAGGTGCTGGTATTGACCTTTGAAGCCCTGTGTCAATTGGGGCTAGTATGACTTAAGGACCGCTTACTCCCATGTGAACCTAGCCAACCACTCTTGTCGTCTTCACAGGATCCCCTTTGGGTGCCCCTGCCATCTGAGCCTAGATGAATGGCATCCTGAGAAAGGGTCTTCTTGGCTGTAGTGCTGAAAGTCTGGAACTCCTTCTGGAGCCTCATTCATCTCTCCCCCTTCTGTCATTGTCCTTCACCAGGACTTCTTTGTATTGTTCGGTTTTCCCTCACTAACTCTTCTTGGCCATCCTCCCTGTTTATGGGTTTACATGTGTTTGTGGGTTTACATGTGTTTCTGTGTTTACATGAATTTATGTATATGTATTTTAAACACTGTTTTAAAGTTTGAACATAAGAGAATCCATGCCGGATCAGGCCAATGGCCCATCCCGACCAACACTTTGTGTCACACAGTGACCAAAACCCAAGTGTCATCAGGAGGTCCACCAGTGAGGCCAGAACTCCAGAAGCCCTCCCACTATGGCCCTCCAAGCACCAAGAATACAGAGCATCACTGCCTCAGACATAGTGGTCCATCTATACCTTGTGGCTAATAGCCACTCATGGACCTCTACTCCATTAGTTTCTCCACTCCCCTCTTGAAGCTATCTATGCTTGTAGCTGCCACCACTTCTTGCAGCAGTTAATTCCAAATGTTAATTACTCTTTGGGTGAAGAAGTACTTCCTTTTATCTGTTCTAAACCTACTGCTCATCAACTTCATTGAGTGCCCACGTGTTCTTATATTGTGAGAAAGGGAAAAAAGTACTTCTTTCTCTACCTTCTCTATCCCATGCATAATTTTGTAAACTTCTATTATATCACCCCTCCATCATCATTTCTCCAAGGTAAAGAGCCCCAACCTCTGTAGCCTTTCTTCATAGGGAACTTGTTCCATCCCCTTAATCATTTTGGTTGCCCTTTTTTGCACCTTTTCCAATGCTATACTGGCTGATTTGTTTTTGATTCCCTTCCTAATAATCTCCAGCATAGCATTTGCCTTTTTTATTGCAGTCGCACACTGAGTCGACATGTTTTAACAATGCCATTGCCATCCTAATCAGAGTTAGAAGAATGAAACTCTGGTTAGGATGGCACTGTTAATGTTTGAAATGTTTTAATGCTGGCCACCTTGGGGACCCTAAGCTGGGTGGAAAGGTGGCATAGAAATGTTTTAAATAAAATAACTACAGAGCTCACAGTGCATAACTGGCAGGTGGGAACAGCTTTCTCTGCCCTTGAGCATGTACTGATGTGCAGGAACATATTGTGTGTCTCAGGAAATTTCCATGACTGTGATGACAGGGCCAATGGCAAGGTTCCTTCTCTGCTGAACATCAACTGGCTAGAAAGGAAGGTAGTATTGCCAAAAAGTTCCGTCATGCATATGTTACCAGAGCCATGGGGGAAGATACCTTAGAAAGGAGAGCTCATGTTTCTACAGGAGTGGTATTGACCCTGAGATCACAGTAGATGAAAAACATGTTGTGTTTTACAAAAAAACAAAGAGGGCTTTCATATTACAAAAGGGCATTCAATCAGCTGTGGTTTATTTTGTAGAACAATCTATAATGTCAATTTCATTTTCTAAACACTTAGGAATGAATTGTCCTTTTGTTTAGGAAGGAAGGCCTAAAGAAACTTTGGTGACGATGAGTGATACCAAGGGAAAGGGCAGGAGCCACTGTATACAGATATCTAAAACTTTAATTTGAGAATTCAGAAACATTATTTTAAAATATTTATTTATGTCATATGAGCCCCCACCTTCCTTCCCAGTAGGGACCCCTGTTCTCCTCTCCTCCATTTTATGCTCACAACAACGATCGTACACGAAACTTGACACCTCTTCTATAATCCTGTATATGGATTTCAGCTTCTAAACTAATTGCTGCCTTGATTATGCTTGTCACATTTTAAATTTCAGTTCACCCGAAATTCTGGATGAGAACACTGAATGTTGGGATTTTTTGGGGATTCACTGTCAATTTTAAGAAAGTGTTTGCTTTGCAAACCTCGGTGAAATGTTGTGCCTGTTCTACAAAGAAACCATTCCTTCTCACCTTGCTTTGGTACCAGGCTTCTGCCTCAGCTCTGCTTCTGTTGGCAATATCTTCATACTGAGCTTTGACTTCAGCAATGATGCTATTCAGGTCCAGATCTCTGTTGTTGTCCATTTGCAGGACGACATTGGTGTCTTTGACTTGTGACTGTACCTGAGCAAGTTCCTGTGGGAACATAAGAGGTGCTGGATTAGACCAGTCATCCATCTAGTTTGGTATTCTGTTTCACACAGTGCCTATCCAGTTTTTGTCTTGGAGGGCCAAAAAACAAGGGTCATAGAGGCCAATTGCCTTCTAGCATTGGTATTCAGAGGTTTACGGCATCTAAATATGGAGGTTCCCTTTAGCCACTGTGTCTAGTAGCCATTGATGGACTACCCTCCATGAATCTGTCTAATCCCCTTATAAAGCTATCTATGCGAGGAATGACAAAAGCTTTCAGTTATCACTGTCTTAGCCTTTACATCCTTTGGTCTGGGAGAAAAGAAGGGAAGCTATTAAAACACACCCATTTCCACCTCTATGTTTCTCAGCCATGTTTCTAGTGGCTTTGTTGAACCCATTTTGTAATTTGTAAGTGATTTCTCGTGGGATTTATTATTTTATTTAAATCATGTACGCCCTGCTTTTCTCTCCTACAGATGCTTGTGATCATTTACAATCACCATAGATCCAGTAAAACAAAACAGCAAGCTGGCAAAGAGAGCCAGCTCTATTGTATTAGCCACTCTCAAAAGCCCTCCTAAACAAGTCATCCTTGCAGAACCTTCTAAACAACAGAAAAGCAGGTGCCTTCCTCGCATTTTCAGGAAGGCCATTCTATAGTAGGGGCAGGGAGCAGCACCTCCATAAAGGCTTAAGCCTGAGCAGAGGCAGTGTCGCAACTCAGGTGGGGTGTCACCTGACACTGCCACCACTCTGGTTTTAGGTTCCCTTGAGAAGGCCCAGAGCACCTTCCCAAGACCTTCAGACCTCCCTTGTTTGATCGAAATACGCGTGAGGACCAGACAGAGTAAACAACAAGGAAAAGGTCTATTTTTACAGGAGGTCAGCCCAATTAGGGAAACAAACAAGGTGCAAGAACAATATCAGTAAGGGGTGAAAAGAATATAAACCAAATGCCCTAATGCGTCTAAACTTACTGTCCCTAGCTCACTGTCTCAGGTGGGCCTCAGTGTGCTCAACCTTCCTCTCAGGATGAGGGTCTCTTCCCTGCAGCAGCCTTCCTTCTGGCTCTGCTCTCTTGGAAGAAAGAACAGCTGTTCTTCTGTACCAGCTCTTTTGTTATAAGTCCCCTTTCTCTGATTGGCTAAAATTGGTGCCAAAACCTCTCAGGGGCTTCTGGGAGTTGTAGGCCAGGCCTCCTCCCACTGCTACTCAGGCTCCCTGGGTCTACTGGGCCTCTAGCTGTACAGCCCAGATCATGACAGGGAGTTTGTACACATCTGCACAATGAGAGGATGCAAAAAAAGCACTGGTTTGATTACTGGGGTTTAAAATGGTGGAACTCCTCTCCTCTTGCATGCTCAGATATATATGCCAAGGGATTCACTACCATGGCGAAAGGTAGTGTGCTAATCCTGAGGACACTGCTGCTTTGGTGAGATGATGACTCCCCAGCTCCTGATGCTGGGTGTCCTTGACTCCACTGATAAGGATGTCATGGTGGACACTGACTGTCTTTATGTGCTGAGCCTGCTGACAGTCACCCTCCCAGGGATTAAGCAGGATAACGTTTCGCCCCCCCGCCCCCTGCCCACGGGCATCGCAGCTGCTACCGAGAACAGCGGCATGGCAATAACCTTTTAAAGAGCCTTCTGGGAAATAGGAAAGGCTGCTTTGGGATGCCTTCTTTACTATAGCTATTGGAGGAAATAATGACTCAAGTTATTATGGGGCTGTCAATAGCCTTGAAGTTCATTTGGAATTGCAGTTATTTGCCAGAGGTCCAAAGGTGGTTTAGGAATACACTGGCATGCAGAAGTAAGGAGGAGGAAAGAATCCTTACTGCATCAAAGAGAGCTCTTAAGAACTGGATGTGCTGTGTCAAGGAATCTGCCTTGGATCCCAGATCAATCTTGTGCATGTAGGAACCATCCACATCCTTCAGAGGAAACATAAAATTACTACTAGTCAGCGCAAGCAGAACAGAAAAGGTCTAAATTGGACTAACGCTTGCAATTGGTCAACTAGTTAGCGCAAGCAGAACAGAAAAGGTTTTCTTGGAATCTAAATTGGACTAACGCTTGCAATTGGTCACAGCATGAGGTGTACACTACAGAACAGGTGTATATGGCATAAAATGGCAAAAGGTATGGCAATTGGCTGGTGTTGGGAACATCTCGAGATAAAGAATAAATCTCAATTGTGGGGGCTAGCTGTGTTGCTCAAGATCCAGTTTTACAATCAACATCTAACATTTTACTATCCAAAACATCTAACATTTTGAAATTCTAGATGAGAATTCTGTATAATTGCAGATGACTGATGTTCCATTTAAGTTCTAACCATAACTAATGTGCCAGATATGACCATTATTATCAGAAAATGAGGGAGGGAAGGTGACATGGTACAGTCTGTGCTTGGAAGGGAGACCACCAAGGAAGACTCTCTGCAAAGGATGGCAATGGCAAACTAAGTATGCTTCTCACTTGCCTTAGAAACCCTTTGCTGGGGTCACCATGAATTGGCTGTGACTTAATGGCACTTCGCATGCACACACACATATCAGAAAATGAAGACAGCCAGCATTTGTTTTGCAATATTTTTAGTGAAATTGAAAATCAAGGGTCTGTTGGTATTCATTGATGTACATTGGTGCCATCTTATCTCTGATGTTCACAGCTGCACTTCTGTAGCGTAGCAAATATTTGGGATCCCAAATGCATGCATGCATCTGATATAAAGTCAGAATGATCATTCTTAAGTCAAGATCACTCACCTTTTTGAGCACCACAAAGTCATTCTCACAAGCTGTACGTCTGTTAATTTCATCCTCGTATCTGTTGGAAGGAATTATTATTGTCAGTACCATTATCATTATCAATCATCAACAGATTACAACATATAGGATTAGATCCCATGGAAAATATCCACATGTACAAGTAGGAGGTGATTTTTAAGAGTCCCCCTCCCATGGCAGACCCTTGGTTGACCTTTATGCTGCTCCTGGAGGTCCCTGGTCCCCCAGAAGTAGCATTTTGTGGGGGTTTCAGGCTGCAGAGGGAGAAGGGAGTCAGGGAAGTCATAATCCTGTGCACAAAATTTAGAGGATATCCAACCCATGATGCATTCTACCATTTTCATTGTGTCTTCCCCTCAGTCTAATCAATTAGGCAAGACTGGAAGACAATGGTTGACTCAAGCCCTTGAAAGAAGATCCATGCTTCTGCACAGAGCTTCAGTTATATCTGAGTGGATATATTTCATACAAGCTTGAGATTTAGAGTGGCATTTGATGGTGTAGATCAGAGAACATAGTTTCAGAATCACAAAGAGGTTGCTTATGGCTTAGATCCACCAGAGCATTTCTGTGGAAGGAGGGATTTCTGCCCATGGAGCATAACTTTCTCACCTCCTTGCTCCCACTGCATCCCCAGATCCCTCTCCCCTGAAATACCCGTCCTGTGGCTCCCTTGGCCCCAAGAACAGCATGTCAGGAGGCATTGGGAGCTGAGGGGGGAGGTAAGGAAGTCACATGGTTGAATTCGAGCCTAAGGCAATGGTAGCTCTAGGGGTGAGAATGGTACAGCAGGAGAATCAGAACTTACGAATGAAGTGAAACCAATGGCCATTACATCAATAAATATTATGTTACCCAACGGCATGTCTTTAGTCTGACCTTTGTGGAAGCAACAGTATTAAGATGAGTAAAGAAGAGGGGAAGGTGGTATGATAAAAGAAGAAAGGTGGGTTGTCCAGGCACAAGGAACAGCAACGCAGAAGACAGAGAAATTGGGTCCAGAAGAAGGAGGAGAAAGGACTGGATGTGCAATATGAAGAGATGGAAAGGTGAATAAGGGGACAGAAGGAACTGAGACATAAATTGGGGGCAGAAAAACTGAAAGACTAAGATTCAGCTATATAAGTCTCAAATTGAGGTAGAGGGTAGCGGGGTAAAACCTTATACTGAATCAGACCCTTGGTCTATCAGGGTCGGTACTCTGATTGGCAGCAGTTCCCCAGGGTCTCAGGTGGAGGTCTTTCACATCAGCTCTGACCTGATCTTATTAAAAATGGAGGTGCCAGGGACTGAATTTGGGACCTTATACATGCAAAGCAGAGACTTTATTTCTAAGCCTTGAACTCCAGCCCAGAGTCAGTATAAAAAGTCTAGGAGGAGGCACTGAGGAGTATGGAAAGACAGCTACAGCAACAGCCTTGTAAGAGAACATGGAGTGAAAGCTGTTTAAAATGACACATTAGATCTCTAATGATGCTAGGATTAAAGAAAATTGTTTTAACATCCTGTCGAGATGCTCCATATGTGTTATCTAAAATGTCATCAGTATGTCCCAATGTGTGTTGGTGGTATTGGAACTTTTACCTATATTTGGTGGGACTTTCAGTATATATATATTCTACTGCTTCTAAAAAAATTATAATTTTTAAAAAGAGAGCAAGTGGGGGGAGTGACACAGACCTTGAAGATGCCAAAAAGAAATTGACGGCAGAATTTGCCAAACACTAGAAAATGGACCACACAAATGGCACTGCTTTGGCTGAAGACCTAGTTATTCCCAGAAGCATTCACAGAGGACCTTTCCTATCACACATACTTGTTCTTGAAATCCTCGACAAGCCCTTGTGTGTTCTTCAGTTCAATATCCAAGTGGTTTTTGTCAGTGATTAGACTTTCCAGCTGCCGGCGGAGGCTGTCAATGTAACCCTCATAGAGGGGCTCGAGATTGTCCCTCAGAGCCGGACTGCCCTGCTGATAGAGCAAGTCCCATTTGGTCTCCAGCACTTTGTTCTGTTGCTCGAGGAATCGCACCTAGAGGGGTAAAGGAAGAGACATTAGATATAGATCTTTCTCGCAAGAGCCAAGACAGGGTCAAATCACATGTGCAGGTGCTCATGAGATGGAAAGGATGGTTGATTTGAAAGTGGTCAAAATTAGTGGTCCCACATGTGAATTCTGAGGTGATCACATTCAGTGAGAGGGTGGTACCATGGGTGTTCTTACACTGTTGATCTGACTAATACCAGAGGGCCCAGGCTAGCACAATATCATCAGATCTTGGAAGCTAAGCAGGATCAGCCCTGGTTAGTACTTGGATGGGAGACTACCAAGGAAATCCAGGATTTCTATCCAGAGGCAGACAATGACAAACCACCTCTGTTCATCTCTTGCCTTGAAAACCCCGCGGAGTCACTGTAACATCTGCTTTGATTTCCACCAATACCAGAAGAAGTACAACCTTGTCCCACCACCACCACCCAGCTCCAATAAAGCAGGGCAGCACTACCTGAACCCTGTCCCTCTCTTTTTCAGAGTATCCCGTCACTAGCAATGGAATCCTAAGGGGAGCTACACCCTTCTTATGTCCATTGATGCATCTGAGGAATCTATCCTGCCTCTCCCTTCCCACTGGAGCCCACTGATCTCCATAAAATGCTGCCCTTGAGGGTCAGGGGCCTGAGGAATTACACGGGGGCGGGGCCTGCAGCAGGAAGGGGGAATCAGTGGAAACTGCCACTTTAGTCTGTTCCTTCATTTATACCCTGCTTTTCTCCCCAATGGGGACCCAGTAAGGCCCACACCTTTGCCCCTTCTCCATTTTTTCCTTACAGCTACACTGTGAGTAGGGTTGCCAGGTGACACGTCCCCAGCCACCAGTGAAGGATAGAGGGCAGGGCTGCCAGATCCAGGTTTGGAAACTCCTGGAGATTTGGGGATGGAGCCTGGGGAGGACGGGGACCTCGGTGAGGTACAGTGCCACAGAGTTAGGGTTGCCAGGTCTGGGTTGGGAAATACCTGGAGACTTTGGGGGTGGATCCAGGAGAGGGTGGGGTTTGGGGAGGGGAAGAGCATCAGCATGGTACAATGCCATAGAGGCCACCCTTCAAAGCAGCCATTTTCTCCAGGGGAGCTGATCTCTGTCAGCTGGAGATCAGTTGTAAAAGCAGGAGATCCCCAGGCACCACCTGGAGGCTGGCAACCCTACACAGAGTCCACCATCCAAGTCATCCATTTTTTCTGGAGATGTGCTGTGATTCCAGGGGATCCCCAGGTCCCACCTGGAGGCTGGCATCCCTACCTGTGAGGTAAGCTAGGCTGATTTGCACTGTAGAGAGCCTAAACTTTTAATTTTCTTCTAATTCTACAAGGGATTCTGGGAAATGTAGTTCTTTGAGGAGGGCCAGATACAACTAGCAGAGAATTCTCAAGGTTCTCATACAACCACACTTCCCAGGATTCATTTGAGGTTGCCATGACAGTTCTTCTTAAGGCCCAGTTGGTATATTTATTCATAAAACCAGAACTAGATCTGGGGAACTGGGTGTGTTTTCAGTTCTATCTACTAGGGAGGGCTCTTCATTTTAAGATGAGACCCAATTTTCTTAGTCATCTTGAGGCTCTGCATGTTCTTATCTTGATCATAAAAGCACCGTACTCAGAGCAAGCAGAATGCATGTTTTAAATCTGTGGGAACCTCCTGCAGAGCATGAGTCTGCCAAAGACTTGCTGGGTGACCTCGGCGAAGGAACTGCGCGTCTCACAACATCAGCACCTTCATTTGTGAAACAAAATGAATAGCAATTAAGGAAATTAGCCTAAAGGTTTGTATGAAGAATGGATGCTATAAATATGTTTTTAAGCTTGGCGTGAAGCTATAGTATAGATTGCCAGATGATTCCTTCCATTTGGGCCTCTGGAATCCTTAGTTGCTCAGTGGCAAGGAGAAGAAACTTCTCTTGATAGCTGGAACTCCACAACGTTTGGAGAAGAGCCTCGTATGTGTGTATGGGGGGGGGGTGATTCTGCTAGAAGGACGACACAAGTGGGGGCCCACAAGAAACTTGCAAAAAGGGAGCATTCCCCCCTTCCTTCCGTCTCCCCCACCTTCCCCTTTCTCTCCCCCAAGCCAATCCCCCTTCGTTCTCTTCCCCCAAAGCCAATATCCCCATATTTTCCTTTCTCTCTCCCCCCCCAAGCCAGGGGGGGGGGTGATTCTGCTAGAAGGAGTTGGAGATTAGAACTGTTAATAAGCACAAACACCCAGAAAGGGTGAAAGCATTATTATATTCCCAGTCTGAGATGTTATCTGCAGTAGAGGAACAGGACACACAAGTTCTCTATCCTTCCTACTTTTCCACAGGTCTAAAGCACAGCCTTTGTGTCTCCCCAGTTCAGAAATACATATTTCTCAGGGTGGGAGATGCAAAGGCTACATGTTCCCATTGGACATTGCTAAGGATGCCAGCCTCCAGGTGGGACTTGGGGACCCCCCAGAATTTCAGCTCCTCTCCAGACTACAGAGATCAAATTCCTCTGGAGAAAATGGCTGCTTTGGAGGGTAGACTCCATGGCATTGTATCCCACTGAGGTCCCTGTCCTCCCCAGGCTCCACCCCCAAATCTCCAGGTGGGGCCTGGAGATCTCCCGTTTTTATAACTGATCTCCAGCTGACAGAGATCAGCTCCCCTGGAGAAAATGACTGCTTTGAAGGGTGGACACTATGGCATTGTACCATGCTGAGGCCCCTCCCCAAACCCCACCCTCTCCCGGATCCACTCCTAAAGTCTCCAGGTATTTCCCAACCCTGCTGGTGACCCTGTCCCCCACACACAGTCCTCCAGTGGCTGTGGGAGGACCAGGCAGTCCTACATTGCTGTAAGGGAGCACACAGTTTTGTAACCTGTGCTTCCTGTTCCTGCATGGGAGGATTATCTCCCAAGCTGTTCTTGGATTTAACATCATGATCTGAGTCTCCACTGTTGGAGAAGAAACAGTTGGTAAAGACAGGTAGCAGATTCCTGTCTTCCTGTAGAGTTAAGAACCTGGATGCAATTACATGTGACGGATAGGACAGTGATATCATAGGGAAGGGAGGCACTGGGTAGACCCTGGCTGGAATAGAGCATCCTAAAGGAATAAGGATATAGTTATATATAGGAATAAGGGTTCCTGTTTCCTTGAACCTCTGGAGGCGTCTTTGCAAACAGATTTGGAAAACATGCTTAACATTTTTGTGGTTGCAGCATCCCCCCCCCCCATCTCCAAGTTCGAGATCCAAGTCACATATTTTTGGCGCACACCGATCTATTTATTTTGTATGTATTAAACATTTATACCCCACTTCTCCCCTCTTTGGTCTTATACCAACTGCTCTGTGAGGTACACTATGCTGAGAAAAAGTGACTGGCACAATGTCACTCAGGAAGCATCTATGGCAAAGTGGCTGTGCTCGAACCTGGGTCTGACCACTAAACACTCTGACCACTAAACCACTGCGGCTCCCTGCACACACAGCTTTTTAATTTATTTACTACTTTTTAATCCCGCTCTTCCTCCAAAGAGCTCAAGGCAGCAGACATCATTATCCCATTTCATCCTCATTTACAATCCTGTGAGGCAGGTGAGGCTGAGAGACTGGGTGATTCCACACTAGACCTTAACTCCTGGTTCAACCCTGTCTCCGAACTTACATTCTACACTACACTCGAGTTCATCCCTATAATGATCTCAGGGTATTTTTTTGTTTCCACATTACATTGAGGTCACCCTGGTCTCACCCCACATTTGTCCCAGGATAAATGGCTGCTATTATAACCAGAGATAAATGCAAGGTATTGTGTTGAGAGTTGAACTCCGATAAAACCAGGGATGAGATCCAAGTGAGGAAAGGACCACAGAGTGACTGGCCTGAGTGAACTTTATGGCTGAGTGGGGATTGTAATCTGGATCTCCCAGATCCTAGCCTGATGCTCTAGCCACTATACCACACTGACTGTCTAGGGAGCTTTCCTGAGGAGGTTCTTTTGCTTCCTGAGGAGGTTGTTGAAATTCTAATCTTATCTGTAGCGCTATTGTCTGATGTAAAGCCTTTTGTGTTTTTCAGGACAGGAAGCCATGTCCTATTTATTTTTAAACTCTCTTCTTTCCTGTTGAAATTCTGTTTATGTTTGTGAATTTCAATGGCTTCCCTGTGTAATCTGACATGGTAATTGAAAGTGTTGTCCAACCTTTCAGTGTGTCCTGTTTGAGTTAGGCTATGTTCAGGAGACAGTATTTTGTTCCAAGACACAGATAAGATTAGATTTTCAACAGCCTCCTCAGGAAGCAGGAAACCTCCTCAGGAAACAAAAGAACCTCCTCAGGAAAGCTCTTCCATTAGCATGTCCATAGCCTGGGGAACTCCTACAAGACAATGACTCAGCCCTACCCCACCTTCCTGAGTAGATATAAATTTACTGCCTACCATTTTCTTCTCACCTTGACACAGAGAGTATTCCATCTTTTTGTGTTTATACCTCTGAGGATGCCAGTCACAGTTACAGGCGAAACGTCAGGTTCTACAATGCCAAGACCATGGCCACACATCCCGAAAAATCTATAGCAACTAATGAACTCCGGCCATGAAAGCCTTCGACAGCATATTCAGCTTCATATGTTCATATATGGAAAGCAAGAATGGCTGTGCGAATATATCCCTTTTTTGGTCACAATGTAATTGACGGGAGTCAAGGAATGGCCCTGAAAGCCACATTTTAGAGATGGCAAGGAAGCACAAGATCCAACCCATCACCAATGCTCCCTCTAAGCTGTGGGGTCTTGTGAGCAAAAATCCTACTTTGTGAGCTACTGGCATTAAAGTTGTGAGCGAGCAATTTGGCTACTGCATAATTTAGCTTGCTCTGGAGCCATCCTTCCTGAGCTAAGACAAAAATGTGGGAGCCAGAGGCTAAAAAACTGTGAGCTAGGTCACATTAACTCAGCTTAGAGGGAACACTGCCCATCACCCCCAACTTCATCCTCCGTTTATTTCA